TTTTCTTTCTTTCTGCCCCACGTAAAGAAACAGTGCAAGTCTCGTTTACCCGTGGAAAGGCCCCGTCTCTGTGGCTGGGAGGCGGCCAGGGGTGTGGGACCGTCTGTCGGGCGGCTGGGCGGGAGCTTCGGGAAGCCCGAGTCTCTGTGCAGCTTCTGTGCAGCCTCCTGCTGGCCTCCTGCTTGGGCGAGTTTACAAGCTTGGGCGTCGCATAATGTGAGTGTTTCTCACCGTTCCTGATGAAACGTTTTCTAGTCACTCCTAATCCTACACGGCATGCTTTTTTTTTTACACTTCAAAGCTGTTACTGTCACCCTAGTTAACAGATCGGGAGCCGGAGGCTCAGAGGAGCATGGTGGCTTAGGTGACAGACACACTCAGATGTGGCAGGCTCCAAGGCAAGGTCACCTTCCCAGGGGTTCCATCCATCGCATCACAGGACACAGTGAGAAGGACTGGGGTAGCAGGGCGGGCCCCGCCTGCTCACCCAGCAGCACACGAAACAGTCATTTCGGTTAAGTGTTCCTACGGACCCCGCAGGACGCTGCTGTTGTCATACTGAGTGACTGAAGGGGGTAACAGGTAAACAGTTCGTGCCTGTTTGCATCCTCATTGCTCTGAAAAATATGACCCCGCACCTCCTGAAGACAATGAAAGATGAGGAAAAGGAACAGACTAGAATTCTGCCAGCATTTTAAGTGACGCAGTTATAGGTGGTTTTCAATGCTTCCTTCAATTCTAAGTCTTCTAGAAGGAGCACGTAATTCAACTGCAGGTTCATTTGCGTGTAATGCCAACATGGATTGTAGGTACTGGCCCGTAATACGTTTGGAATGGACCAGAGAAGAGAGAGAGGAATAAGGCTTCCCAGGCTGAAGGTCTGCGATCGCTCTTGGAAGAGCTCAGGGCAAATAGGGCCAAATTAAATAAAGTGGAAACACAGAGTGTCTGTAGGCAAGTTCCTGAATATTTAACAAAATTTGTTTTGGTAATATTTATTTTTGAAAGAGAGAGAGCAAGAGCAATTGAGCGAGTGGGGGAGCAGCTGAGGGAGGGAGACACAGAATCTGAAGCAGGCTCCAGGCTCCAAGCTGTCAGCACAGAGCCCGACACGGGGCTCAAACTCGTGAACGGGGAGATCATGACCTGAGCCGAAGTCACTCAACCGACTGAGCCACCCAGGCGCCCTGCAAGTTCCCAAATGTTAAGAAAAAAGTATTCTATCAAACCCTTGGAAGGGAAATGGAAGGGAAATGGATTTCCAAGGGAACAAAGGTCACCAAAGGCAGCTGATGTCACTGTGGGCGCTGTGGCAACCAGAGCTCCGTGCTCCCTGCCCCCCGAAATTGTGCTGGATGGAGTGTGTGCTTGGGTTCCTCAGGCCAGAGAGACCGATGCTGTACGAAACCCAATTCCCTGGTCAGGAAGTCCATGCCCATCGGCTAGACGTGGTCTGCTCAGAGGTAGAGAGGCCTGAGGGAAGCATCCCTATCAGAGGTCAGCACTCGGGCAAAGACTTGGAATCTCGATCCTTTAAACATTTAAGGTACGATTTTTCAGGTTTTTAAAAACTTACGTGTTTCTTTTAGGACCATTATTTACTATTTTACTATTTTTAAGTTTATTTTGAGAGAGGGAGATAGAGATGGAGGGAGGGAGAGAGCTTGCTCATGCATGTGAGGGGCAGGGAGGGAGAGAGAGAGAATCCCAAGCAGGCTCTGAGTGCCAGCTGGGAGCCCGATGCGGGGCTGAAACCCTCAGAATGCGAGGTCATGACCTGAGCCGAAATCAAGAGCCACCCGGGCACCCCTGATTTTCAGATTTTCGCCTCTAGACACAAGCTCTGGTCCCCTGTGACTCACAAACGGAACTACGAGAATTATCTCCTGAAATGTTTTCCCAGCAAACTGGAATAACAGGCAGTAATTTTTGCAAAGAAACAGCACGTTCATCCAGCAAGTGACTTGACTTTCGGAATGAAAGCAACTGGACGTCATGTCCCAGTTTGGTGATTTGGCAGCTGTTTAGGTAACAGTGGACTCACTCATTTCCAGAAGTTCAAAACTGACAAGAGTTGTTAATCTTCATAATGGACTGTTACTACTCTTCTTCTCCACAATTCGACGTCACTGAAATCTACAGCACCTCCGAGACGCGGATCCTTTCCTGTTTGGGTTTTTCCCTCTGTAACTCTCTTTTGCAACGGACTGCACAGATCCCTATAAGGCCACATACTTAACGAAGCTCTGTGCGCTTTTAGGGCAAGGTTACGAACATCATAAATGTTTCACCACCTGTCATTCTATACTTTCGCATCAAAGTCTTTTTTTTCCTCCTCAAATTATTTGAATCCACAAAGCAAGGGCAAAGGGTTCAATGTACCCTTCAGCTCCCATGCTTCCTGACATCTTCTAATACTAATAAATAAATGTGCCACATTTATTTTTTTATTTTTTAAATGCTTACTTATTTTTGAGAGAGAGATAGAGAGACAGAGCACAGCAGGGGAGGGGCAGAAAGACCGGGGAGACAGAATCTGCAGCAGCTCCAGGCTCTGGGCTGTCAGCACAGAGCCTAACATGGGGCTGGAACTCATGAATGGGGAGATCGTGACCTGAGCCAAAGTTGGATGCTTAACCGACTAAGCCACCCAGGCGCCCATCATACGCCACATTTAAAAGTGAGGCTAGGGCCAGGCTCTCCCCAGGGGGCCACCAGCAGGAAAGAACAGGAGACACGATGAAGCAACGCAGCTGTGATGCTCTGAGGGTCGCAGTCAGGGGTTAATAACAGAGCCGAGGTCCTGCCCGCTCTCGGATCTGGCTGGGCACAGACCCTGGCAGAGGGTGCTAGGAAGATGAGGCCCCGCGGGCACCTGGAAGTCTGCCCACTGGGGGCCATCCAGCACTCTGCCTCTGCCTCCGGGTAAAGGTGGTCCCTAGGGCCTGGAGGGGACGTGCTCCACGTGCTCAAGTGGGACGTCCTGACATCTGTTAAACGGATAAGCGAGTGAATAAATCCAGCAGCTCCCTCATTTCCTAACTTCTTGCCAAGCGGGAAGGGGAGGTTCATGAGCAAGTTCAGGAGCCTTTAGCTCTGTTAGTACTGAAAAAAACCTGCTGGGCCGGAGAGAGAGCAGCAGGTGAGCTGTGGGCAGGTTAGGGAGCCATCCCGAGGGACCCCGCCAGGCGCAGAGCAGCTCTGTGCTGACGGACACTGGTGAGTGACCCCAGGGTGTCACTGCCGGCAGAGGTCAGGCGCCACTCCACACACAGCAAAACCAAGCTGGCGTGAGAAGACACCACCTGAGCCCCCGCAGAAGCCCCGTGATCAGCATGAGAGCTCAGTGCACACAGCACTCAGGTGCACACTGTCACCATCCAAGGCCATGGGACCACATTGTCTGCCAAGGATTAAAAACGTCCCTACAAATGTCCTTTGCTGCCTGAGGGGGAAGTGCTCAGGGGCCCGGAATGTTCTTTCCCATCCCCAACCCCTCTCCCCTTCTTCCTCTGACTCTTCTGCCAGAGAAATCCTGTAGATTTTTCTGTCTCGCATTCCTGCACCCCATTAGGAAGTATCTTGGCTCTATATCCCCAATAACGAGTACAGGGACAGGTATGTAAATCAGTCTTCAAAATATGTGCCAACTGAATACAGAGAGACACACAGGCTGCACTGTGTGACTGTGAGAAGCTTCTGCACCGGCCTTGGGTCCTCCCTACTCCAAGTGGCTAAGGCTTCCCTCCGGCAGGGCCCAGCCTCACTCCTGGGTAATCTCGGAGCTCTGCATGGGGCCTCTGAAGCTCACACAGTGTCTGGTCCTCCTCAGGCCTGTGTCCCGGGTGGGTCCGTACTAACGGCGGGCTGCACGAATGCCGGCTGCTTGGCTGGAGGCTTTACAGCAAGTGCTAAATGCCGCTTGCGCATCTGTTCCAAGCGCTTGCTGACTTAGGTCAAATGACCGTTAAATAAATTAGTTGCTTGGGTAGAATGGAAAATGTTTATCTTTCCTATCTGGAAAATTTAAATGTTCCCAACGCCACAGCCTATATGTACCATAACACGTACAACTTGAAAAACACGGGCTCTGTGCTGACAGCTTGGAGCCTGGAGCCTGCTTCAGATTCTGTGTCTGCCTCTTTCTGCTCCTTGACTTCAGCTCAGGTCATGATCTCACTGCTCATGAGTTCGAGCCCCACATCAGGCTCTGTGCTGACAGCTCGGAGCCTGGAGCTGCTTCAGATTCTGTGTCTCCCTCTCTCTCTGCCCCTCTCCCACTCATGCTCTCTCTCTCTATCTCTCTCTCTGAAAATAAACTTTAAAAAGAAAAAGAAATAGCCCAGCCAGTTAAAAAACCATGCCTGCCCTAGCACATTCTCTGGAGTAGTTTTTAAAGTCGCTGTTTCTGGAATCAGAGTTTAGTCCCAACATCCCGTTGTCCAAGAGCCTCCGGGAAAACACCTGGAGTCTAAGTCTCAGTGGCCTGCCCTTATCTGAGTGGTCTAGTCAAGCTCTGTGACCCTAAGGTGACTCTGACCCCGTGGGACATTGCATTCAACCAGTCTCCCACTACAGCGAGCTCAGATACAATTAAATGTAATGTTTTATGTTAATAAGGCTCAACTCAGGCTTTCCAAGCTCTGTAAAGTGCTCCCTTGACACATTTCCAGGGCTATGTCTTCAGAAGTTTCTTGTTGGTACTTGAGAGTGGCAGCAGGTGCCCGTGAACGATACCCAGAGTATGTATACGTGTGCCCACATGCACAGCGATATGGACTGGGATTGTTAATGGTTTACTATTTGGATTTGCCAGCACTGTGCAGGCATTTTATGGAGTCATCTTTATTTAAATGCATCACTGTGCCCACTTCAACGATGGGGAAACCTGGTGCAGAACAGCTTCCCAACTTACCCCATGTTCCCCAATGACATGGTTGGGATAACGTCTAGCAGCCTGACCCCAGAACTTGCTTTTGGCCATTAGAGAAACTCAGACACACGTTCCAGCATGTTTAATGGAGAAATGTAGACGGACGTGAGAATTGTACTGACATTCGAGTTGCAGTAATGCTCAATCACATCACAAAAGAAAACTAGCAGTCTGACAACGATCCTGCTTGCTGGAATAATCGTGGAGAGTCAGGAACACAGGACTCAGAAAGCTTCTGTTGAGCGTTTGACTCTGCCTGTTGATAGCACCTTCCTAAAACGCAGATAGGGAAACACTCGGCACCAAGGACTCCTGAATCGAGAACAGTAGGGAAGAGGGGCACCCATGGATGCTTCCTTTTTCCTCTTTATCAAGTGGGTGTTGTAAGGTGGGACCCAAAATCAGAGAGGTCAAGTCAACTGCCCCCAGTCACAGAGTAAGTGAACCCAGCTTTCTCAGATGCAGAGAACATCTTTTTAAACTGTGCAGCTGTTTCAAGTCTGAGTGAAAATTAAAAAAAAATTTAATGTTTACTTTTGAGAGAGAGAAAGAGAGAAAGAGAGAGAGAGGGAGACGGGGGTGGGGGAGAGGGAGAGAGGGAGAGAGGGAGAGAGGGAGAGGGAGGGAGAGGGAGAGGGGGGGAGAGAGAGACAGAGAGAGATCGATGAGTGGGGGAGGGGCAGGGAGAGAGGGAGACAGAATTGGAAGCAGGCTCCAGGCTCTGAGCCATCCAAAGAGAGCCCGAAGTGCGGATCGAACTCACGGACCGTGAAATCATGACCTGAGCCAAAGCTGGATGCCTAACCGACTGAGCCACCCAGGTGATCTTGAATGAAAATTTTTAAATTTTGAGTTTAACTTTTGTTCAGCCATTGGCTTCAGGTGTGTAAAAGTCAACCCTTAAGAGCTGGAGAGAGCCCCAACTTACTGAAGACCTGCAGACTTCAGGCACAGCCTGAAATTACCAAAGGATTTGAAAATCTCCTTAAAGATTTTAGGTCTTTAAAGTCATTGGTTGGGAAGCTACTCACAGGGTCTTGGGACCCCCTGCATCATGCAGGGTTGAAGGTCTCCGAATACGACGCCTTCGAGCCCATGCAGTCCGCCTACGGTAAAGGGGAAATCACCGAACGCAGCTCTAGAAAACCAGGCTTCCAACTTGCAGGTGATCACTGGGCTGCGTACAAACAGCTCCACCCACTGCGATGAGCCCAAAATGGAAATGGTACAAAGGAGCCAGAAACCATTGCTTAGAATAATCTGAGGTCATCTGCACTCACCTGTGGGTCAGAAACTCTCGTCCTCATGGAAGAGACCGCAGGCCGGAACTACCGTGTAACACACCAATTCCCAGAGACCCAAGTTTAGCAAAACCAAAAACCCAAACCACCCCTCCTCCTATTCCCCCTCCGGCGCTCTCCACCCGTCTCCCCACCTTCCCCACTAGCCATGCTCAAGGGACCCTCCGCACCAGGGAAGGGGCGGTGAGACAGGGGTGGGGGGCGAGGGCAGCAGGGACACGGGGGGGGGGGG